CAGTTTTTCCTCTAACCCAGACGGTGGATAGGCTCGTTTCCGTATGTCTCTACTTCCCCTATTTAATCCAGCGAGTGGCTAGACTATGTACTTCAATGGCGCAGCTGAGACCAGCTAGCAGACTGCCCATGGTCCCCGCTGCTTTGTGGTTAGCCGTGCTCTTCCACTTCCCGCGCTGCCTCGAGCGTTTGCCATGCTTACACCTTCTCTTCTAATCGAACTCGCGGACAGGCCCCCTTTTTGCGCAGGCCTTTACTTTCAGTTTCAGTTTATTTGGTAAGGATAATAGGCAAAGCCTTTGAAAACCCTATTGATTACATGTCAGCTCGTTAGAATAACTGTACACGAACAAAAAATGTTCACTATTAAAACAGTACTTGGTTCATTTGAGTAGCATTGTCTCAGAGAAAATATTTGTGGGGACCAGGGGTATTAGTTCAGATTCAGACCGTCGAGGGAAAACAGGGGACACAAATAATCATCCAAGCGTTTCTTGAAGAGTTGCAGGGATGTAGCCTCCACGACTGATGAGGGAGATCGTTCCATTTCTCCACTACCCTCTGCGTGAAAAATTCAGAACGGAGATTCAGCCTGGACAGGAAGGTACAGGAAGGACATTGCGGACAGGAACTAGTCCAATGAATTCAGTCCCGCTGCTTTTTCGGTATGCAGACCCCTAATCCTTCAGTTGCTTCGACCGTTCGCATGTCCTTATCGTCCTCCTCCAACCCAGACTGCAGTTAGTTGAAGTTAGGCTTGACGAATATTCGGTTACGTTCAGATCAGGTGCACCTACCGGTTTCTACTCTGTAACGCCCCTCCCCCGTTTTCCCCCACGGTTTTCTTTTAAACCTACTCGTCGCTTGGCCGGGTACTTCAACGGCTCGGTTGAGACCAGGTGCTGAATGCACTTGGACTCCGCCTAGGTTCTGTTTGTCTTCAGCTTGTCCTCTAATCCAGCGAGCCGTCGGTGCGCGAATTCCGATGTCCAGACACAGTGCGCAATGCACTTTCACCTTCCCCACCCTCCCCCGCCTACCCTACGCATTCCCATTAAGTCCTTTGCCTACACTCCACTGAGCGGCCGGGATACCTTGCGCGACCGCCTTCGTTTGGACTGCGTGCCCAGCACATTTGTACTTGCAGTACGTCCGCGTTTCGTTTGGCCTCCGGTTCTTTACTAAACCATCCCGGCATATTCGGCGCAGGGGTCCGACGGCCTCAATCCTACATTCCTACTCCGTCAGTCAGTATTAGTCAGTCAGTATATTTGGAGTAAACGACAGAAGCCATGAAAACTCCATTTAGAGGGTACAGGTATAAAGTAAAATAGTTAAATTGCAAAACTTTTGCTTGCAGTTTTAGTAGGGAGAATTCATAAATCTAATACTGTAACAAAAAGGTGAAAGGGTTATTATATTCGCAAAATAATTGCGAAAAACTTTGTTCACCGCATTCGGACTGTGAAAGTTTCAATATAGGCTAAGTTTGACGCAAAAATAGGATCTGTTGAAATCCTGTGAGTACTATATTTATAGTCATTTCAATAATCCGTTAGATCAGGCTTCGACAGTTTGGGTTGCCTTTCAGCAGGTGAGTATCCAGTTGTCTCTTGAACACGTTCACGGTAGGGGAATTAACAACAAACTCCGGCAAAGAGTTCCACTGGCGAATGACCCTCTATGAGAAAAAGGAGGAACGTTGATTTTTGTGGCACAGTTCCTTTTTAAGCTGGTAATCATGTCGTCTGAGATTGGACTTGGGTGCCATTTCAAAAAACGTTTCCCAGTCGACATCCAGATTAAGTCCTTTTACTAACTGGAACGTTGTTATGAGGTCACCTCTGTCCTGCCTGTAGTGGAGGGGATAGAGGTTCAAGGCCGTCAGGCGCTGCTCGTACTTGAAGTTTTTGAGGCCATGAGCAGCCTTTGTAGCACGCCGTTGTACACCTTCAAGGATATCTATAAACTTCCGAAGCCACGGCCGCCAAGCCTGTACCGCATATTCCAGGTGCGGCCGTACAAATGTCCTGCCACCATTCTGCTTGCCTGCTGCTTCATTATGCGCTGAACTACTACTTCCTCGACACCGTGGCGACGCTTATAGCCAGTGGCCAGTGCATTTGCACTCGCCTCCCCCCTCCCGTATCGTCCTAATGGTTTTGCTTGTGTTTCCCCTTTCTTTCTAAACCCCGGGGAGTGCCTTGGCCCGCTGTATGACAGGGCGGTACTCCGATTGAGTACGTAATTTACATCTTGGCATCCACTTCTACCTTGCGGTGGACCACATGTTTGCTCGTATTCCGGTGACAGCCTACGTCAGGGAAAAAACCCGGCCAACTGTTGACCAGGTGTTCAACGTTCCTCCATACCGTTCCCGTACCCCGTGGGCCTCTATCGTACTTTTAAGTCCTGACAGTGGCTAAGTGAAAGTACACCGACGGCACAGACGGAAGGACACTGGCGTGCATTGGGAAAATTTCATTGTTTGAGTAGTTGCAATAGACAAACTTAGTGCTGTCCCCGTGCGCGGCCCTGCCAAACGGCTTCAAATAGTTTTACGAATTGGCTTCTTATTTAACTGTGGTCGCATTCCTTGTGTGCAAATTCACCTAACTTTCCATTATCACAAGTACAGACGGCCTTACGGAGCTCACTCGTCCCGTTGTGCCTTACAGGCTTTCGCTCTCTCTCGAGCCCAACCAGCAGCCGCTGAGCGGCGCATGATATGGGCAGAATGGCATTACCGACAAAGACAAGGGAGACTGGAATGGTTATTTCTGACCTATTAGCCGTCGTCAGCCACTCATACCCAACCCCGGGGTGTGGAACACCTGGGGCTCGAACTCGAGACCTGTTAGTTGGAAGTCCAACGCCTCTAACCACCGGGCCACGGGCTCGTCGTCCTGTCGGTGTTTCACAGGTGTCCCAGGTGTTCCACACTGCGGAGTTGGAGATAACTGGCCGACGACGGCTAATAAGCCAGAAATGGCCATTCCAGTCTCCCTTGTTTTTGTCGGTGATAGCAGACAGCCTTTTGCTGCTGCGAGGCATCGGGGTCCGCCTGTGCACAGCTATTTACCGGGCACATCTTGTAATACCTGTGCCCTCCAGAAAAGCGAGGCATGTATTCATCACAATCGCCAAGGACGGCCGGCCTCCTTCTTGGCTCTAAACCGTCCTCAGGCAAGGATATGTTAGGTAACCCCCTTGGGGAGACCGTAGTTAGCTACAAACCTAACGCCAACCATGATCATGTCTTCAGTGGAAGATCTTTAACCTGTAGGTAGTTGAGGAAAATTTGGACACACTCGTAAGCTTAAGCCAAGCCCTTAAACCCAAACCCTAGCCTCCATCCCAAATTCAAACCACAGCCCAAGCCTGGAAATCCTATTCCCACGAATAACCTAACGAACATCAGTGTTAACCGTTGTTTAAACCCTTATCATGTGCCAAAAACGGACAAATTTAATATTGGTAACACTTATAGAGGTCAAAATCTGCTTCCTGCACAACCTCTTTCATCACCTACTGCCAGGCAAACCGTCATGAAGCATACCAACCACCCAGGGGGTTATATACTCTACCCTTACGCACTTACAGTGTCATTGACTTTCCTCATCGACAAATTAGTCAGCAGTCCTTTCTGTTGCAGGTACTGTACCAATTTGGGTGAATTAATGACACCCCGCATCAGCGCGAGCCTTATTGCCTTACCAAACTTTGGTGCTGCTTTCCGAGATGCTTCAATAGGCTGGGGTCTACAAGTAGAAATCACTCATTACTGCGGTCAGCGCGCATCTATTTTTATTACCATAGACCCTCTTGCCGACGGCTCCTCTCGCTCAACTTGACATTACTGTAGAATCTGCTGTCGCGCTGCGTTCGCAATCCCCTTTCCTTACCGTTCATCAACATACCCTTAGCTCTAACGGCTTACCTTATTTGGGATGCTTCCACGCCTGCGTTGTCCGTTGCTTGGCTTCCTTTCGTTTCTCCCTTGCGTTTCTGCACAACTTGCGGAATGACCTTGACACGCACACTTTATTTTGATTGGTTACGTGCATTCATTCTGCTGCTGCGTCTTATCCACGCTGACATTTGCTACTACTGCAAGCTGTTCCACATGCACCATTCTAATTTCATCCCTTTGTTGCGAGCGCTAAAGACAGAACCGTCAATCCCAGACTATGAAAATCAGAATAAGACCAGAGTTATGAAAGATTTAATAATCAAAAGTCAAACGACCTGATAATCCCACTCATGCCAAGCGCGCCGCGTCGAGCTGTGTTCATTCCATTCAGTTAAACAATCAGCAAGTTCTAGAATGAGGAACAGGTAGGGAAAGGCAAGATAGTCTGGCCCCTCGGCACAGTACCCCCCTCCGAGACCGGAGGCCGACGAAAACGACGCCGAAGAATGTGTACAGGTCTAAAAGATATGCGTGACCAACCGATCAGGAAAGTGTACATGACGACCACTGCGAGTGATATATACAGGGTCCGTAGAAGAGTGAATAAATCTGGTGGCGGAAGTGTTGGAGTTGGTGGTGGCAGTCGGAGATGGCGGACAGGAGGGCAGAGGGAAAATACGGGACGGTGGAATAGAGGCTGCATGGGGGGAAGCAGAAGGTACAGGACCACAGGGCTCATCCGAAGGAGTGTCAGGGACGGCAGCCTTGAGGCGGTCCACATTCACGACCTCTTCACGATTGTCGCGCTGAATGCGGAAAGACTTCGGCCCGCGAGAGAGCACCCGAAATGGGCCGTCATAGGGCGGTTTCAGAGGCCGGCGGACTCGATCACATCGAAGGTAGACGTGAGAGCACGTTGCAAAGTCCTTCTCGAGATACGACGGAGAGGCGGAGGACCTGGGAGGAACCGGAGGAAGTGTCCGCATAAATTGCCGAAGACGATGCAGGAGGTTGGTGGGATCCTCAACCGCACCTTGTGGGGTTGGCGAGATCATCTCACCGGGGAGTCGGACGGTGGCACCGAACACCAGTTCAGCTGCGGAACAATCAAGGTCCGGCTTCAGAGCGGAGCGGATGCCCAAGAGGACCAGGGGAAGGTGGTCCATCCAGTTCTCCGGATCGGCCGCGGCGCGTAGGGAGGCCTTCAGCTGGCGGTGAAACCGCTCGACCATCCCGTTGACTGCCGGATGATAGGCTGTAGTGCGGATGCGAGTACAGCCTAAAAAGGAGAGTAAAAACTGGAAGAGATTAGACTCAAATTGGGCACCACGGTCAGTCGTTATTGTGTAGGGTGCACCAAAGATAGCAACCCAACGACTGAGAAAAGCCTTGACCACCGTTGGAGCAGCAATGTCAGGCAGGGGAATTGCTTCAGGCCACCGAGTGAACCGATCCACACAGGTGAGGAGATAGGAACAACCATTGGACAGAGGCAGGGGGCCTACAATGTCCAGGTGAACGTGGCTGAACCTTGAACCAGGACCGGGAAAGGTGCCAATTGGGGCCTTGTTGTGCCGCTGGATCTTACTCCGTTGACAGGCGATACAAGCCCGTGTCCATGCTTTCAGGTCTTTGTGTACCCCGGGCCAGACGAAGCGGTCGGAAACCAGCTTGTCAGTTGTTCGACTCCCAGGGTGAGAGGGATTATGCAGGGAGGAGAAAACTTTGCGGCGGAGGGATAGTGGCACGAATGGATGATGGGAAGGGGTGGATACGTCGCATAAGATGGTGCCGTTGCCAGTTGTCAGTGGTAGTTCCTGAAGTTGGAGTCCGGAAACATCCTCATCACAGGGTGGACCGACACGGCGTTGTTCAGCGGCCAGCTCAGCGAGGTCTATCCCGGGTGAAAGCTGAAGATGAGCAATAGAGGGCCTGGAGAGTGCGTCAGCCACCTCATTCGGTGACCCGTCAATATGGCGGATGTCTGAAGTGAACTGCGAAATGTAGTCCAGGTGACGGATCTCCCGGGGGCTAAGCTTGTCAGAGTGGGAATGCATTGCAAACATGAGTGGCTTATGATCAGTGAAAATTGTGAACTCTCAACTTTCGAGTAAATGCCGGAAGTGCCTTACGGCAAGATATGCAGCGAGAAGTTCACGTCCGAATGCGCTATAGCGGGCTTCGGCCTTGGCTAGTTTCTTGGAGAAGAAAGCCAAAGGCACAGTAGAATCTGGCAGACTTTGTTGAAGAACCGCGCCAACAGCAACATTGGAGGCATCGACCGTCAGAGATATGGGTGCATCAGCATGGAAGTGAGTCAGGAGGGTGGCGTGAGCCAGAAGGGCTTTTACCTGCCCAAATGACGTGAGTGCTGCTGGCGTAAGTTCAAAGGTGCGCTTAGAACCACCCGAGAGGAGACTGGTCAGAGGTAGGATGGTATCGGTACAGTTCGGGAGAAACCGGCGATAAAAGTTCACCATACCAAGAAACCGTTGCAACTGACGCTTCGAGGTAGGGGGTGGAAAGTCCCGAATGGCGGCAACCTTTGAGGGAAGAGGCCGAATGCCGTTTGAGTCTATCAGGTGACCTAAGAACTCAAGAGAAGTGGCTCCTAGGACACATTTGGCAGGATGCAGGGTGACACCAAACTGCTGAAATCGGTCAAAAAGCAGGGTAAGGTGTTGGAGATGTTCCTCGACATCTCGATTGTCAACGAGAACATCATCAATATACACATAAACAAATGAAAGGCCGCGTAAAACGCGGTCAATGAAACGTTTGAAAGTTTTTGAGGCATTTCGGAGACCAAATGGCATACGAAGGAACTCAAACATGCTAAAAGGAGTCGTCACTGCCGTTTTGGGAATGTCCTCAGCCGCAATCGGAATTTGATGAAAAGCCCGCACCAAATCGATCTTCGAGAAAACGGTTTTGCCGAAAAGAGCTCCAGCAAAGTCCTGAAGATGAGGAACGGCGTACCGATCGGGCATAGTGATATTGTTTAGGGCTCTATAATCGCCACAGGCACGCCAATCGTCCGTATTTGGTTTAGGAACCATGTGCAAAGCAGATGCCTAGGGACTGTCAGACTGTCGAATAATCCTTAGTTGCAGCATGTGGTCAAACTCTGCTTTAGCTGCCGCAAGACGCGCGGGAGCAAGACGGCGGGGACGAGAGAAAACGGGAGGACCAGTCGTTTTTATGTGATGAACAATATCATGGGAAAACGAGGTGTCAGAAAAATGGGGCTTAGTGAGGGTAGGATATTTTGCTAAAAGTCAACGAAATGGACAGTCAGGGTTTGGGTCAAGGACGGAGAGCTGGTTAAAAACTGAGGATGGAGGAAATCCTTTGACGGTGAGGGTAATTGCGCGATCATGGAGGCGAAGTTGTCTGCAATCCACCAGAAGGTCAAAGGCAGCCAAAAAATCAGCACCAAGGATAGCGGTGGGAACATCAGCAACCACAAATATCCAGGGGAATAATCGCCGGAGACCAATATTCAGAGAGAGGGATCGAAATCCAAAGGTTGTAATGGGGGATGAATTTACGGCTTGAAGGTAAAGACCATGGTTTGGGCAACGTCGGTCGGCTGGCGTGGGAGGGATAACACTAATCTGAGCGCCAGTGTCGACTAAAAAATGCCTGCCACTCGTGTTATCACTCACGTAAAATTTGCGACCCGTAGAGTTGCTAGAGAGCTCGGCCGCATTTACTCTCTGGCCGAGGAGTTTCCCTGCGTGGACTTGAAGGAGCAGGGTGGGACACAGCGCCGCGCCTTGTCGCCATAGTTGACATGATACCAACATAGATTGGCGGTCCTGGGGCGAGAGCGGGAACGACGACGGTCACGGACGAAGGAACGTCGAGAGGGACCGGGGGATCGGCGCAGCTGCAAAGCGGCAACAGTCGCTGAAAACTGGGCAGTCTGCGTCTTTAGTTCAGCCAGGTCAGAGATGGAAATGTTGAGAGGCTGGGACACCTGAGCAATCGTCGGGGATGACAAACGCTCAACCTCCATCATACGGTCAGCCATCTCCGCTAACTTTGATATTTCTAGGTCGTCGGAGCCAGAGGCCAAGATTGTTTGCACAGACGTCGGCAGACGTTCTGAAAACATCTCTTTAAAGAACTTGTCGTCGATTTTCATGGTCCCAACCAGAAAACGCATGCGACGCAAGAGTACCGACGGCTTACGATCACCTAAGGCCTCCTCTTTTACTAGTGCGTGATAACGCTGCCGATCGGAGACTGATGTCAGGCGAAGAAGTTCAGCCTTTAACTTGGTGTAAGGAGCATCAGTCGGGGGATCTCTCAGAAGCGTCTGCACTTGAGAAAGAATGGTGGGAGGGAGGGCCTCGACCAGCTTATAAAACTTGTCGGTTTCACGTGTTATCTTGGCGGAGTGAAAAGTCGCCTCAATACGGAAAAAATAAAGCTCTGGCGCATGTTGCCAAAAGCCTGGGAGAAAAGAAACAAGTCCACTGAGAGTAGAAGTGGGATCGTTGGAATTCGTAGAGGTCATGATTGTAGAAAGAAAGAAGGCAAACGGGCGGTATGCAAATAGAAAGTCCACAAATTAAAGGTACAAGCGTGAACGTCAAAGGGTCACCACTGTGGCGAGCGCTAAAGACAGAACCGTCAATCCCAGACTATGAAAATCAGGATAAGACCAGAGTTATGAAATATTTAATAATCAAAAGTCAAACGACCTGACAATCCCACGCATGCCAAGCGCGTCGCGTCGAGCTGTGCTCATTTCATTCAGTTAAACAACCAGTAAGTTTAAGAATGAGGAACAGGTAGAGAAAGGCAAGATAGTCTGGCGCCTCGGCACACCATCTCTTCAGGTTTCGCTTTCTTTAAAGCCTTATTACAAATTTTCGTAAGCCTACTTTTTTCATTATTATTTCATAGTCGTCCCAGCACCGCGCCCCTCTGTCCCACCCGTAAAACCCAACTTATCACCTGTCCCGCATTACGGGAGGATGGGGCTTGCTCACATCAGGTGCGGCTACAAGACCACATCTGACCCTGGCCTGGCCTAAACGCAACAGACCGACGGCAGCATTGTTGTGTACTTTTCATTCTCCACAATATGTGAGTAAAATGTGCTTTGACGCCTGACGCAACCCGTGCACCAGTCTACTGCTCGAACCTGGCGAACAGTTAGTGATGTGATTGCACGCAGTGGCCGGCAGAGAAGCCAGAACCCAGGTACACCAAAGAACACGCCTGCCACATATGCGAGAGGTGTTTGTTCTGTGTATGTTGGGGGCAATGCTGTGACACTCTCGTGTTTGTGAGGATGGTGTGTGTGTGTGTGCTTTATGGGTAGTGCCGCTCAGTCGACGACTGTTTGGTTACCTAAACTTGAAGCGTGACAGCCCAGGCTAAATGCAGGGCCATGTTTCACCCTTCTAGGTCAAAAGGTCTGAAAGCGTGTGTTCTTCTTCTCCAACAGAGTGGTTGCAGCTTGGAATGCCTTGCCTTAGGATGTTGTTATGTCGGGCTCGGTAGATACTTTTAAATGGAGACTAAATCAGCATTGTAGCGCGCACCACTACCAACATTTAAGTAATATATGTTTATGTAATTTATTAAGCTTGGGCCACTTCGCACACCGCTGTTCGCATTCACCACGAGGCCTGTAGACTAAACAATTTTACTTCTTTTCCCGTATCTTAAGTGTGCCTCAACTGTCTGCTGTATTTTGATCAACAAAGCAAGTTAATGTGCCTCTAAACTCTGTTAACGCATGACATTCTGTGTTCATCTGTACAGTTTTTGCTATTCCCCTCGCATTTCTTTCATTTTACTTCCTTTCCATTTCCTCCATATATATCCTCTGCATGTAACCAATAGGGATTTCAAAGGTTCACACCTACTTTCCCTGAAATATACTGATACTGATACAACGGAATTTGTTGAGGTTACAGATATCAGGTGGTAATTTAGTGGACACTGCTACACAAATCCAGCTTCCTCTTAAAGACCTCGACGGAAGCAGACATAACGACATCAACCGGCAGAGCATTCCAGGCTTCTAGCACTCTGTTAGAGAAGAAGAACTTTCGTGTGTCCAGCCTGGCCCCTGTCACACGTAGTTTGATTGGATGGGTAATGCCGCTCAGTCGACGACTGTTTGGTTACCTAACCTTGAAGGTTGACGACCTAGGCTAAATTCAGGACCACGTGTCATCCTTCCAGGTGAAAAGGTCTGAAAGCATGTGCTATGCCAGTATCAGCAAACCATGGCTCTCGCAGCCTGGTATGCGCTGGCAGTTCCCTGACACCTGGTTCCCCTGCCGGTAGATGCGCATGCACTCCCGCTGGGTATACAGGTGGTGGGCATGACTGTTCAGTCATCATCCTCGTCCTTCTGGCTCCTGTTGGGGTGTTGCTGTTGCTGCTGTTACTGGTCAACAACCTGGTCTTTTGATGTGTGGACCAGGGGATTTGAGGTAGAACGCCGAGGTGCGAGCTAGACCGTGCCATCCAGCTGCGCCCCAGCCTCCGGTCTTCTTGACACCGGATCTAGATGGGGAGTGAGGAGGAGAGTGTGCGGCAGATGCTGCGCATGTCTGCCGCCACTATAAACTAATTCATGCGCAATCCACCGTGCCTGCTGCGCCTTGCTGTGTAGCACACGGTGGACCTCATTGAAATCGACGGTCGAACTGTCGTGGGGGCAATGTGGGGCGAATTTGAGAGAGAGAGAGAGAGAGAGAGAGAGAGAGGAAGACGAGGTGGCGAGCATACGTAGCTTTCGATAAATTCTCGTCGGGCCAGTACAGTTATATGAGAGCGGGGTAGAAGAAAAACACGTCAGCGATAAGAAAAATCGATAAAAGTTCTACTTAAAACACGGGCGGGGTGTGGGAATGTGGGGGGGGAGGGTGGGATGGGTAATAGCAGTCATTGTCAGGGGCGGGGTGAGAGCGGAAGGGCGCGAAGTGTAGCAGCGTTAGTCGACCTTCGACCACTGTAGGCGCAGAGCCTGAACGTGGTTTTTCTGCGCGCATAAGATTGGCTTTCGTAGCCTAATGGCGGCTGCTTCCGCTGTCGCTAACAGGCGCTGGCCTAGTAGCTTAGGGTAGCTCGATGGGACCTTATAAATTACACGAAAAGCTTCGATGGGGTCCACACGATGTCCGGAATCGACTACATGCGCGAGAATGGCGCTGTCTATTCTCCTAGTTTCACCTTTTGCCAGCCATGCGGGAAGGTGTTCGCGTATTCTCTTGGATAAGCGCCTACTCGTGCGACCAATATAACCTGCTCCACAGGAGCAAGTGAAGGAATATATGCACATTGAGGTGGTCTGCGGTGGCAACTTATCCTTCCCTTCTCCACGTAAAATCGGGTTAGTGGAGAATGCTATTTGAACCCTTGCTGCTGGGAAGGTTCGCGAGACAGCTTGATCAAGGCGTCTCCTTAGGAGTTCACTCGCGGCGTCCCCTTGGAAAGGGACCTTGAGGAACAAAGTCTTCTTTTCGGCGGTCGGTGTGGCGGGTTTGATCGGTCGTTCAGCAATATTCTTTTCAATAAACCTTTCAGGATATCCGTCTTCGCGAAGGAAGTCTTGGATTTTTCTGAGCTCCTCCTCGATGCTATCCGTTAAGCAAATTTTTCTAGCCCTTTGTGCCAAACATCGGACTAGATTTCGTTTTTGTTGGAGGGGTACGAAACTGGCGAAGTGCGTGTATTGTCCAGACCAGGTTTTCTTCCGATAGACGCTTCTTCAGACACTCCCGTCAGGTCTCCTACTTAGAAGAGAGAGAGGACTGCTTTATTTTGAAAATAACCTTCAAAACTTTCAACAAAAACGGTTCTCCAGTACACAGTGATTACCATAGAGATTAACAGGTTTTGGACAGACAGGTGGACATGATTATATATGAAGAAAAAAGGACTTTAAGGTGCAAGATCGAGTTTTAGTTTTTGTTTTTCAACAACTTTGCAGGTGAGATACCGGGCTAGAAATGGCAGTATGGAATTCCGATAAGCCGAAGTGCGGCAAGGGATGTGGCGGAAGCATCGGCGCATGGGGCGTAAG